GTTCATTCGAGGGTTCAGTTCATTCAGGGTTCAGTTCATTCAGGGTTCAATTCTTTCAGGGTTCATTTCATTCAGGGTTCAGTTCATTCAGGGTTCAATTCTTTCAGGGTTCAGTTCAATCAGGATTCAGTTCTTTCAGGGCTCAGTTCATTCAGGGTTCAGTTCATTCGGGGTTCAGTACATTCAGGGTTAAGTTCATTCAGGGTTCAATTCTTGCAGGGTTCAGTTCATTCGGAGTAGTTCATTTCATTCAGGGTTCAATTCTTTCAGGGTTCAGTTCTTTCAGGGTTCATTTCATTCAGGGTTCAGTTCATTCAGGGTTCAGTTTATTCAGGGTTCAGTTCATTCAGGGTTCATTTCATTCAGGATTCAATTCTTTCAGGGTTCAGTTCATTCAGGGTTCATTTCATTCAGGGTTCAGTTCTTTCAGGGTTCAGTTCTTTCAGGATTGAAAATTGGACTGGTAGAAATTGATGCTATCAGGTACACAGTCATGTTTATGTTTGCTATACCGGATGAAAGACCTCAACTTGGAGCTACAAGTATCAATTTTCATTATTGAATATCTGATGTCCAGTACATCTACGATCAAATAAAGTCAAAAATTGTCCAAGGGTCATTAACATTCTTTCATAGAATACAGACAACCAATAACATATCATTAGATAGATTGCAGTCTCTTCCAGAATAATAACTGTTGATTTAATAGTATGCAAACGCAAAGCCGAATTTAAATTCTGAAAAGGGACACAGATGAAGTAAAAAATATAGCAAAATCTTTGAACAATAATTAATTTTACCTTGATCATTTTGATCATTCTGTTTGTTTTTTTGGGGTAATTTCATCCATTTTGGTCTGCGCACGAACAAAAACCTATATTTTAATTTCTTGCCCACCATTTTGAATCCAAAAAGAGGTTCACGTCATTTTTTAATCTTCACTCAGATTTTCTGTCATAGTCTTACAAATGTTCGTTAAATCGCTGGCACAGAGCGAACTTGATTTGTTAATTTGGATATTTACTAACAATTTTGGAAATTTTATTAACCCCAAAAGTCCAAGTCAAACATTGGAGAATATTCTCATGTTTGACTTCTTTACTCCTATTAAGTGAGTTCATTAATTCTTAAAATTCTAATTTGCAAAGTTGACCACATTTCCAAACCTAGCTATCCTGATGAGGATTGTGTTCGCATAGTCATTTTAAAAATCCAAAAGTAGTAAAATTCCTTGCAAATTCTTCAATTGATCAAAGAAACACAAACTTCACGCCCCAAATAATGTTAAGCTTCCATATCTCATTCTGGCAACACGTCAAAATCTGACATCAAAACAAGTAGGTCCAAAATATAGTTGCGATGTAACTTTGGTCTACTTGAGTGACATAATCTGACATTACATAGAAAATCTCCACGACATTTCAATAAGAGCTTGTGATATTTGCCTTGACTTTTATCCCGCAGTCAATATCCATATTTTGTTTCAGTTTTTTTCTGTGGGACACTTAACTCATTCTATTTCAAATTTGATTGATCCTTTCACAAATTAAAGTCTTTATATTCGAATCAAAAACCAAATCAAATCAAATATTATTTTGAAATGAGAAAAACCAGCCTTTTCACAGTGTTATCCTACATCTGTCTATGTTTGTCACATTAATTGGTTCACAAAAAAAATGTCCGCCCCTAAATCACATCAACAATAACAGAAAATGATATCAAAATATTTACTAATTATTTTATCTCTACGGTTAGGTCGTTCTGCCACAATAACCATGTCATAAAATTTGTGTTTTAATGAGCTTTTCACTGAGGCAACTATGTTTTCTGCCAGTTAAAGGAACAAGTTCGCCATCCATTTGACCAATCATACCTTAGTCTCAGAAACATAAATTATTTAGCTAAGCCAATCAGTCGTGTCCCTTTAAAATAGCTATATTAAGGTATGTCATTCTTAATGCTATAAACAGTTCATATCTAATATGTCTAATAAACTACACTATCAGATAAGGTCAAATATTTATCAAAGGTCAAAGTTCAAAGTTTAAGTCAGACTTCAGTGCATAATGGCTAATGTCAATGACTCAACATTCAATGTGCAATTTATGGATTTATATTTTGTAGGTCAAACATTGGTTTTGTATTTTATTGAAAGAAAATGAAATGAATGGAGTTTTACATCCTACTTTTCTGTACCATGTGGACTAATGAAGACAGGCAACACCATGCATTGTGCCATGAGGGAAATTTTGCCAGGATAGCAGCATTAGCCTGCTCTTGTTCGATTTCCTACTGTCAAGGGATCTTTAACGTGCACAGCCTGTAGCACACGGGGCCTCGGTTTATTGTCCCATCTGAACGACTAGACGCTTTTTCCATGTCAGCCCCTCTTACCTGTATCACTGACAGGGGGAAACCGGGTTGAAAAATCTGAAGGTATTATCTCGACCTATGCTGGGATTGAACCCTGGACCTTCAGGTTAGCGAGCAAGCTTTTAATTCACTGAGCCACCGCGGCTCCCTGAAAAGTTGTAGGGGGGACTTTATTGTGGTGTATATTTGCCTGGTGTCAAAACTATACAACAGAATCCCTGTATAATCCAATAAATCCATAAACCTAAGTAATAATCCATGAAACTAAGTAATAATTCATTAAACTAAGTAATAATTCATAAAACTAAGTAATAATTCATTAAACTAAGTAATAATTCATTAAACTAAGTAATAATTCATTAAACTAAGTAATAATTCATTAAACTAAGTAATAATTCATTAAACTAAGTAATAATTCATAAAACGAAGTAATAATTCATTAAACGAAGTAATAATTCATTAAACTAAGTAATAATTCATTAAACTAAGTAATTGTGAAACATGCTTAGAAGTGTTTTTCAATAATTACTTTGTTTAATAGATATATCGTGTTATATAGAGATTCTATTCTTTAGTCAAGACACCTGGTTAATCCAACTGATGAATATATACACTTATTGACCAAGTTTGAGACTTTAAATTGTATGTCCATTCTAAGTGATAGTGTACCTTTAATGCCACTGAAAGTTAATGATTCTACACTGAAAAAAACAATTTGCTTTTTAAAATTACCTTGTTGGTCCTTGCTTTCGACTTTCTTTTCACTTTCAGTCTCTGGTTCTCCATCAGGAGATTCCGCTGCTTGCATGGATTTTCGGCGCCAAAATTTGGACTTCAATTTCACACGGAAGGAATTCAATCTTTCCCTCCATTCCATGTGGAATACAGAGAAATCGTCTTCGTCATTTTCGTGAAATCCCATAGATCGTTTGGAGTCACTCCTCTCTCGTCCAACGTGGCCATCTTTGGAATGGTCAGAGTCACCCTGAAGACCCATGGAATCAAAAGATGTCATGACAACGTCTTTTGGATCAAAATCCATGCCTTTTGAATCTGTCCTTTCATCCCATTTCGGTGCCAAACTGTTTTGATTCTTATCTGGATCTGATGGTGTAAGAATGTGGCCATCCAGAGCTAAACTGTCCAACAGAACTTCAGGCTGTTTGGACACTTTGCCACAATCTCCCATTCTCGTTTCCAACAAGGGAACATCATCATCATCATCATCATCATCATCATCATCATCATTGCTAGCATCAGTACTGGCAGTTTTCTTAATATCACCAACTTCCATTTCAGGACTGGCGTTTTGGGCCAAGTCAACAGGGTTAACATCTTCTGCATCAACAGAGTCTTCGAAGTGCTTTTCTGCTGAAGAATGAGCATCTTTATCTGGACTTCCATGGTTGTCACCGAGGTTCCTGGAAGCTTTAAGAGATGCATCCTCCACCAGCTGGGCTTCAGAACTGTGATGGGACTCCACAAGATCTTTGGGTGTCACTGTCTCTAAATCAAGCATGTCCTCGTTTAAAAGAGGAATTTCTATGTCCGGATCCTCTAAAACTACTAAAATGTCCTCATTTCCAGAAAGTTTGTCTGTCGGAAGCAACATGTCATCATTCAGAATCAGTGGTAGCATTTCCTCAATTTCAGCCTTACCCAAAGGATCAGTTTCCAATGAAGGATGTGATACAGAGCTGTCATCATTTCCCAAAGATGCATCATTCTTAGGACCAGCAGGGAGATTATCCACAGAACCATCCATCTCAGGATTTAAATGATCAACCTTGAGATTTGATAGCTGATTTTCCATAGATCCATCCAGCTTTGGGCTTGGAGGAAGATTTTCCATAGATCCATCCAGTTTAGGACTTGGAGGAAGATTTTCCATAGATCCATCCAGCTGATGGCTTGGAAGATTTTCAACAGATCGATCCAGCTTTGGGCTTGGAAGATTTTCAACAGATTGATCCAGCTTAGGGCTTGGAAGATTTTCAACAGATTGATCCAGCTTTGGGCTTGGAGGAAGAATTTCAAGAGATTGATCAAGCTTTGGGCTTGGAGGAAGATTTTCCATAGATCCATCCAGCTGATGACTTGGAAGATTTTCAAAAGATCCATCCAGCTGATGACTTGGAAGATTTTCAAAAGATCCATCCACTTTGGAGAGCTGTTCTTTGGGAATTATTGGAGAGCCTTTTTCAGGTTCTGCATCAACAGAAGGATGGGTACTCTCTGGTGTTAAGTTGGCATCACCATCCTCTTTAGAGAAGTCTTCTGTACCTTGCTGAAGATCTAGATCAGAAGATTTTTTTATTTCTCGGGAAGGACAACTGACATTTTCATCCACCTCTGGAGTAGGAACTCCTGGAACAGCATACTGAAAAGGGTCCACAGCTTGTTCCTCAGTGTCGTCATCCAAAGCAAAACCACTATTCAAGGTGGCATCCAGGGATAATCCTAGAGGGAATGAAGCTTCAAATTCTGGTGGAGGATCCTCTTCATGTGGACTCAGAATACTTTTGTCCAAGACACCGACTTTCAGGTCAATTTCCAAATTGTCATCTGCAGATGTTTTGTCATCCACCACCCTTGCATCTGCTTTGGCATCAACATCTTTGGACTTGGTATCCAACTTGTGATCTTCCAAATGGTGTTCAATTTTTGTCTCAATCACAGAAACACTATTTTCCTTGGAACCATCTTCAGAACTAGTTCCAACAATTGGTTCCAAATTTTTCAACTGGCTCCCTTTTTGATCAAGAGTTCCAGAATTCAAAGTTTTGGCACCATCAATCATGGGGGGTCAGATTGGATCTCACGAGCGCCAGTAGAAGCATCATTAGGGACACATTCCACATCTGATGCTGAACTAGATTCCTGAGTAGGAACACCAGGTACTGCATACTGAAAAGGATCCACAGGTTGTTCCTCAGTATCATCATCCAAAGCAAAACCACTATTCAATGTAGCATCCAGGGATAATCCCAGGGGGAATGAAGTTTCAAATTCTGGTTCAGGGTCTTCATGGGTAGCTAAAACACTTTTGTCCAAAACACCGACTTTAAGATCAATTTCCACATTTTCTTCTAAATCAAGAGTCGCTTCTCCATCTTGGATTTTATCCGACATTTTTAACACAGTTGTCTCCAAAGCACAGGTTTAATTCTATAAAGACGTAATCCATACACCTTCTAGTCTCTCCTAACAAATCCTTGATGAATTCTTCAAGGTCTAAATCCAAAAACAGTTTTTAGAAAAGCCTAAATGGATAGTCACTTCCCACTAAGACAAATCTTCCAAGGATATTTCCAAGAGTAGTCCTGTACAATGGGAACTTAGAAATCGAAAATCCAGTAACAGAAATTTCTCAAAAACAGATGTGATCACTTTAATGAAGACAAATCCTAAATTCTAAATCCAAATACTGATTTTAGACAGTCTAATAGCAGACACAACTCAAAAACGAAGAAAATCTATTCCAAACAAGTCATAAAATCTTCAGTTTTTGAAGAATAATTTTATGGCTAAATCCAAATACTGATTTTAGACAATACAATAGCAGACACAATTCAAAAACAAAGAAAATCCATTCAATATATAGAGATACAAAGCCTTAAAAATCCTTGTGAATCTTTCTATGACCAAATCCTTATTTTAGAAAAAAAATATGAAAAATCAAAATTATTCCAGTTATTATTTCCAATTCTTTAATGGATTGGAAAGAAGTTTTCTAAATTTTTTACATATATCAGGGACACTGATAGCATCAATTTACACCATTCTAATTTTCAATCAGACGTCTGTGGTTCCTGCAATTCCACTAAAACTAAGTGTTTGATGATGTCACTAATCACTAAATATGCTTGTATCACATCACGTCATCAAACACTTAGTTTAAGTTGAATTGTAAGAACCACAGACATCTGATTGAAAATTGGAATGGTACAAATTGATGCTATCAGTGTCCCTGATATACATAAAAAATTTAGAAAACCTTTTTAAAATCCCTTTAAAATCACTTCGAAGTCAAATCAATGGCGTCTGTCACAAGTCCACAAAAAAATCCACAAAACCAATAAATAAATAAATATATCGACTTCAAATGAACGGAATATCTTCATGGATCACTGAAGAAGTTCCAAAATAGAAATGACGTCTGCTCACCGCACAAAAACAAGACTGTAAGTTGCTAAACCAAAATGTCACATCTAGTCCAAAAATATTTGTAACTTAAAGATGGATTGCATTTTATAATCTACCTTAACATAACTTGTCTTTTCTTTGCAAACTTTAAGAAATCTTTATGCATAGTGCTCATTATAAGGTGAAAAAGGTTAATTTCATTCCCAAAAGCACAATCCATGGACCAAAAAGATAAGAATACTAAAGCTAATGAACCAATTATCCAGAATTTGAGGACAGTTTGTCACCCTTTAAATAAACCTGTCACAAGATATTTTCATAGATTTAAGAGTAACACATGGTAAGATTCTTATACGGTTGGTTTGATCTGCCTAATTGTCAACTGACTTCTTAAAATGAATCAAACATACCCAAATTTTCAAAAATTCCATCTGTTTGACCAATCTTACCTTAGTCTCAGAAACAGGAATTTTTTTAACTAAGCTAATCAGTAATAGTGTTCACAGTTCACTGCCGAAATTTGAGCCTTCACATCCATGTGTGTCTAGAATTATCCGTGTTTGAAAGTTAAAATGACGAGTCGTCTTTTCTTGAGACACTGTCATATATAGAAAAGACATATATAGAAATAGTGAGTAAAATTCCTAGTTTGAGATATTTTTAAAGGAATTATGTGATTTTCATACATTTCTAGTATTTCTGAAGACTATTTACATATATTCAAGACTCAAACAGAGGTAAGAAGTCACAAAGGTAAGAAGTCACAAAGGCAAAAGCCACAAGGTAAGAAGTCACAAAGGCAAAAGCCACAAGGTAAGAAGTCACAAAGGCAAAAGCCACAAAGGCAAAAGCCACAGAGGTAAGAAGTCATGGTAAATTAGGCAAATCAACCATACCAACAGTATATTGGTACACTAAGAGTCAGCAGACTTCCTTACAACCACCTGGAGATAATAAAACCTTGAGGTACAAGTTGTTGATTTAATATTGGTCATATTTTCCCTGCTAGACAAATTCCATCAATCTATTGTCTTAAATGGTGCTTAATTCTTGATTTAAAGGGACAGATGCGCCATTTTTGCGAGATTGATTTGGGTCTTGAATATATGTAAATTGTCTTCAGAAGTACTAGAAATGTAAAAAAATCACATAATTCCTTCAAAAATATCTCAAACTAGGAATTTTACTCACTATTTCTATATATCACAGTGTCTCAAAAAAAGACGACTCATCTTTTTAACTTTCAAACGTGGATAATTCTGGATACACATGGATTTGAAGGCTCAAATTTTGACAGTGAGCTGTGAACACTATTACTGATTAGCTTAGCTTAAAAATTCCTGTTTTCTGAGACAAAAGTATGATTGGTCAAACAGATGACGAACCTGTTGCTTAATTCTGTACTAATGGAATTTCCACAAAACACAACTGGCAAAGTCTTCAAAATTCAAAATTACAAAGAAAAAGACGTAATCCCAAAATTCATAACTTCAAAATAGAACTGTAAACTTTTAAAAAAGGGATATCCACAAAACGTAACAAACAAAATCTCCCAAAAACAGTTTACAAAGAAATAGATATAATCCAAAACTGCATAATAATATTTACTTAAAAAAACAAAAATGGAATATCCACAAAACGTAAATGGCAAAATCTTCCAAAATCAGCTTACTATGAAATACGATTAATCCAAAATTTACAACTTCAAAACAAAACTGTGTTTTTACACTTTAAACAGGAATATCCACGAAACGTAAATGACAAAATCTTCCAAAATTCAGCTTACGAAAGAAATAGATAAAATTCACAACTGCGTTTCAGAGTACGCACATAAAAGACTTGAACAAAATTTTATGACGTTTAATTCATATACAGCCAGTTGAAATAATTCAGTCGTCCAAATTATTTTTACATCAATAACTCCTATCTTTCATTTGAATATTTTACTGATAACATGGTTAAAGGGATAGAATTCGATTTTTAATATTTAATAAACCAGTAGATAGAGATCGATTTCAGCTATCCATACCACTTTTCAAAATTAAAATTTGATGTAGGGTTCTCTCACAATTTAATAAGTTGTGCCATGGAATTTAAGACTGTTGTCATGATATGGAAAACTTAGCTACAAGTGACATCTTCGGTCATAACTACCTGATAGAATGTTCTGGAAGTGATGAAAGTGCCAGAGAACCATAAGTCAGATTTGTATTCTGAAAAGGGACACGGTAAGCTGAAATTATAACTGGTTGAGCAATTTTTCATTTTTGTTTACCAGGAGTTTAAAGAAATTGTGTATTATGCCACTGATATCACAGTATATTTTCATTTCATTGCGTATCAATCAGTTATCTGATTCTAATTTTGATAAGTGACACAGACAGCTTAAAATATCCTTTTAAGAATGAGCATAATTCAAAAATATATGTTTGTGTATGTAAAGTCATTTTCAAACTAGGAATTTTAGTTTGTAAAATCATGCTTAATTAATGTTACGAAAGCACAGGCACAGGCATATAGGCGTAAGATAGCCGCTTAAAAGAGACAGATGCACCATTTTTTTGACCAATCATACTTTAGTCTCGGAAACGAGAATTTTTTAAGCTAATCAGTAATAGTGTTCACAGCTCACTGTCGAAATTTGAGTCTTCAAATCCATGTGTGTCTAGAATTAGCCACGTTTGAAAGTTAAAATGACGACTCGTCTTTTCTTGATACACTGTGATATATAGAAAAAGACATCTATAGAAATAGTGAGTAAAATTCCTAGTTTGAGATATTTTTAAAGGAATAATGCGATTTTCATACATTTCTAGTACATCTGAAGACTATTTACATATATTCAAGTCTAAAATCGATCCCCCAAAATGGCGCATCTGTCCCTTTAAATGTCCTAATGGAAGTTAAACCTGATTGTATAGGATTATATTCATAAAGAATGAAAATATTTAAATCACTAGAGTCATTTAGATCCAATCTTTGACAGTAAATACACCAGCTTGTGGCTAGCTCATAATTCACTACATCAACTCAGTCTAATACCTTGACATCATAAGGCACTTTTCTTGTGTTGAAGGATCTTTAATGTGCACAGTCTGCAGCACACGGGGTCTCGGTTTATTGTCCCATCTGAACGACGCTTTTTCCATGTCAGCCCCTCTTACCTGCATCACTAACAGGGGGAAACCGGGTTGAAAAATCTGAAGGTATCATCTCGAACTATGCCGGGATTGACCCTAGCTAGGCCTTCAGCGTATAACTCACTCAGCCACCGTGGCTCCACTAATTACAATAATTGTAAAATAAAATGTACTTACCAGGTTTTGACGGACCTGAACTATGTCGTTTAGGACTGACGGTGCCTTCTGCCTTTAATTGTTCCAAATATCCTGATTTCTCTTCCAGACTGGAATCAGCTGATTGAGTTCGGAATCTGAAAATAGACAATTATTAGGAATTATTCCTTTTGGAATTCCAAAACTTTGAGTTCATTAACAAACTATTGTGATACAAGAATAGTGGTTATTGCAGTCAAGGTATAAGTATGAAGTTCGTAATAGCTTGACATTGTGAAGATAAAAGAAAGGTGGCTATTGCAGTCAAGGTATAAGACACAGTTTGTAATAGAGTGACATTCTGAAAATAAATGGAATTATGAGAGAAGATGACTAGGTCACACTGCCTTCAGAGACAACCGAAATTAGAACCCAAAACCACCATTTGTTCGAAGTAACCAAGGAAATGATGTCATGTAAAGAACCAACGCTGTAACGCAAGTTGGATTGTCGTCTGCTAGGCAATTGGGTGCCAAGGTTCGAATCTTCCACAAGGTAAGAAATATTCTGAGCCTCTGCCTGTGTTTTCGAGAGTAGGCCTGGTGTCGGCTTTCACCCCAGAGAAAGAAACGTGGAGCATGAAAAAGACTAAAAAATGGAGCCTACATTTTATAATCAAGACTAATATGAAGGGTTTCATCATCGATATGTTCGTGTATGACTGTTTTATCGAACATCTTTCCTAAATATATCGTCTCTTCATCGATTTCATATTCTATCACGATTTCTTCTACATCGTGATTCATATCACGAATTATCACTAGTTTATTATTCATTGTGAACTCCTTGTGATATAAAGGCATTCAAATTCAGTGAACTCTCGCAAATCTAAATTCAAATTTAAATCCAGGCATTCAAGTTCAACAACAGCTAGGCATTCAAATTTTCAATTTCACTATTGCAAGGCATTGTGTTTTCAAATTTAAATCCAGGCATTCAGATCCAACAACAGCTAGGCATTGTGTTTTAATATTTAAAATCTAGGCATTCAAATTCACTATTACAAGGCACTGAATTTTCATATTTAAATCTTTAAGGCATTCAAATATCCAATTCACTAAAGGCATTCAAATTATCCAATTCAGAACAGCAAGGCATTCAAATCACAACTTCAAAGGCACTATTATCCAACTTAGAACAGCAAGGCATTCAAATTATCCAATTTAGAACAGCAAGGCATTCAAATTTTCAAATTCAACAGCAAGGCATTCAAATTGTTCAATTTTGAACAGCAAGGCATTCAAATTGTTCAATTCAGAACAGAAAGGCATTCAAATTGTTCAATTTAGAAAAGCAAGGCATTCAAATCACAACTATAAAGGCACTATTATCCATTTATACAGCAACTGATAGCAAATGCCTAAAGGTGGAACTGCCAAATCCAGAATCCATGCACATCCTTACACAAAAGTCTGATCAAGCTCAAATTCGAACGATCCCAAAAACACAAGAGACCTCTATATATGTGGACCACACCATCAGACAACTGGGAACTTAGAATGATTTACAAGTTACCCAGGGTACTTATTACTAAAACAAAGGCCATTAAATTGTTTGCTTAACACACTGACTGACCATGTAACAGATAGACAATGACCTTGTGAACTCTCTAGAGCTAATCAATTAAAGATGGAGGTTAATCCTCTATCAATTGTTGACAGGTTGCAAATGCCAAAAACATTAAATATATGGTGTTTAACCCCCCAACATCTTTAATTGTTAGAGCTCTAGGAAGTTCACAAGGAAATATATTTAACATGTTAAAGATGGGTTCCCTTAGTTTTATTTATGAAAATGAAAATGCTAATACTTATATGAATAGAAAGTAGAGGTGTCCTAATGACTTGGAAAAATACCAGTTTGTCTCACATATCTATAATTAATTCATAATTAGCTAAATTAGAAGAGAATTACCAGCAGAATTCCAATGAGTGACAGATCAAGAAAGGTCAAAAAGTCTTTTTTTTGTTTATCCAGACTGTACATACATGGACATTTATGATTGGTTAAAACTCTTAATTATATGCAATAAGAACATAATGATATGATTAAGAATACATGATAATTCATTAGAAACACCAATTAATCAAATAGTTTGCTTAATTTGACACTAAAAAATAAGGAAACCCATCTTTAAACGAAAAAAAAACCAATCGAGTGAAATTTGAGTTCTGTACCTCTGATGTATGGCAGCCATTTTGGTAACTTAATATCGAAGGAAGGAAATCGAAGTCAATGATTAAAAGGATTTTAAAGGGATATTTCCGTCTTTTTTATTCTCTTTATTATAAACTCATAGACTTTCATTTCAGCTATCTGTGTCACTTATCAGAATATGTATTCTATTATAGGTTTGTCTCCACTTTCATAATTTCAGTCAAAACTGTAAAGTGATCAACCTGTAGCACGAGGCCTTGATTTCTTGTTCCATCCAAACGCATAGACACTTTTTCATGTCAGCCCCTCTGTATCACTGACAGGGGGAAACCGATTTGAAAAATTCAAACAGAAATGGGAATTTTTTTAGCTAAGCTAATCAGTAAAAGTGTTCACAGCTCACTGTCAAAATTTGAGCCTTCAAATCCATGTGTGTCTAGAATTATCTGTGTTTGAAAGTTAAAATGACGACTCGTCTTTTCTTGAGACACTGTCATATATAGAAAAGACATCTATAGAAATAGTGAGTAAAATTCCTAGTTTGAGATATTTTTAAAGGAATTATGTGATTTTGGTACATTTCTAGTAATTCTGAAGACTATTTACATATATTCAAGTCTAAAATCAACCCAAAAATGACAAAACCAAAACACAATTATAAATTTTGTCAAAATGTCAAAATTCGGGGATAAGTTACCTTTAAGTCAAGTGATAAGCTTACATTGAAGATATTGTCTTGGCCTAGTAAAATTATTATGTACACATTAGATATTACCATCCATTACATTAAATATTTCATTCCCTAAGAAGATTTTTTTCCAGTCTAATTAAAGGTCGACCAAACTTTCATTCCAGTGGCGGAGCTAAATGGGAGGGCAGAGGGTTCAGCCGCCCCCCCCCCTCGCAGCACTGAAAGCAAATCTGATAACTATGTTAGAAATTCAGGCAATCTTAAACCTGGCTCTGCCACTGTTTCATTCCCTTTTTTTATTAGCTTTTATTTTTAATATAACCACTTCAGTTAGGGTCTAAAGAAAGCCTTTTTGAACATTCGTCAGTTTGATGTCACCGCCAGCCAATCAAATTCCTGTCCTCTCCAATGCTGGGATTTTGTGACGCGAACGAAAGGTGCTTCTGATGTCTAATGCTTCCCAGAATGCATCTTTTGTTTGTGGCACAATATCACAATGTTGGAGAGGTTAGGCTGAGTCATCAAATAGACAAATGTTCAAGAGGGCTGTCGTTAGACCCTAACTGAAGTGGTTATATTAAAAATAAAAGCTAATAAAAAAAGAAAATGAAACTGTTTGTATGGTGAGCACAAGATGGTTCCTTGCTGAAAATTCATGAAAAATTCTCCCTCATTGCACACTGCATGGCCTCAAAGTTTTCATTAGCCTATTCAGGTACAGAAAAGTAGGCGAAAACTCCATTTAAACATTAAACAAGAATTTTTGATATGCCAACTATGTCAACAAGAAAATGTCAATACTCTGTTTTTTCCCTCATCTCACACTGCATGGCCTACCTTTTTCATCAGCCTACTTAAGTGCAGAAAAGTAGGATAAAACTAGACATATTGATATGTCAACTAAGCAAGTTTTAATTATTATTGACAAATCAATACAAAGCTTGTGATTACAAATTATAACAGCTGTAGCGAACAAGTCATCCAAAAAATATTCAAAATTTTAAAGAGGCATAGCTGTATAGATATTTGCTTATATTTCAATGGAGATCGTCTAATTCCTTTAAAAATATCTCAAACTAGGAATTTCTTTTCCTAGTTCTATAGATGTCTTTTCTATATATATCACAGAGTCTCAAGAAAAGACGAGTCATCATTTTAACTTTCAAACACAGATAATTCTAGACACACATGGATTTGAAGACTCAAATTTCGACAGTGAGCTGTGAACACTATTACTGATTGGCTTAGCTGAAAAATTCCTGTTTCTCAGACTAAGGTACGATTGATCAAAAAATGGCGCATCTGTCCCTTTAATGAAAGATTTGAATTTGAAAAATCAGATTTCAACAAAACACATACCTGAAACAAAAATTCCTGAAGATATCAAGAAGAACGTTCCAGCAAGATAGGTACATGCTTCAAGACAACAGAACATTCTATATCCAGATCATGGCGCCATTGTTGTTGAACACGGGGGCAGTGGGAATTTGTACAGATTGTGGCAGATAGCTTATCACTTAAAAATAGTATCTTATTGATATGGGGGAAGACTGTAGTTCACTTGATTAGAGTGTTTGAAAAATTATCACTTAAAAATAGTATCTCTTATTGAAATGGGGGAAGATTGTAGTTCACTTGGTTAGAGTGTTTGAATCTGAACATGAGGTAAGTACTCGAGACCTCTCATATAAAGAAGTTGTCTTGGAATATTAAATAGTTCAGATTCCAAAGTCATCTTTCCTCATTATTCCAGTCAACCCAGCTGTAAATGGGTACGGATAATCTGGGAAAGATCAATGCCAAAAGGTTTGGCCAAGAACCCACTGGTAGACAGAATCCTCAAGAACCTAAATTATTATCCTTGTATGGTCAAAACCAAGAAGTTTGGTTAAGGACCAGCTGGTAGAAAGGATCCTTAACTGTGAACCTAAGTTGTTATCCTTGTAAAAGCCAAACAATTTCTGTCAAGGATCAGCTAGTTCAAAGGATCCTTGTGAACCTAAGTTATTATCCTTGTAAGATCAAAACCAAGGATTTTGGCCAAAGACTAGCTGGTAGAAAGGATCCTTGTGAACCTAAATCATCATCCTTGTAAGGTCAAAACCAAGAAGTTTGGCCAAGGACCAGCTGGTAGAAAGGATCCTAAACCGTGAACCTAAGTTATTATCCTTGTAAGATCAAAACCAGGAAGTTTGGCCAAAGACTAGCTGGTAGAAAGAATCTCTGTGAACCTAAATCATTAACTTTTTCAGGTCAAAGCCAAAAGCCTTTTTTCTTATCTACCACTGGCAAAAATCACTTACCCCTCATGAAGCACTTCTAAGCGAATTTTCCGCTTAATTTTTTTATGATGTCGTTTCCCCTTCATTGGTTCAGAATTAGTTTAAAATAGTTGTTTGTCTTAGTTCGATAATGACACACAACAAAGGTGGATTTCTTTTGTCTTCTAGCATGTGCTAGTATCATTATATAAAATTGAATGATCTATCAAATAGACTGGGATTTCCAGTGATATTGATAGATGGGAAAGAGTAATCAAGTGTCTGGATAATCAAGTATAATAATAGGCTATCCATCATTGTCGGGAAGTTTTGATTGGGGTGTACTAGGCTATTATCAAAATAAATAAATAATTTCACATCAAAAGGATTAAAGATGGGTTCCCTTATTTTCATTGATGAAAATGAAAATGCTAATACTTATATGAATAGAAAGTAGAGGTGTTCTAATGACTTGGAAAAATACCAGTTTGACCTTTCTTGATCGCTCACTCATTGGAATTCTGCTGGTAATTCTTAGCTAATTATGAATTAATTATAGACATGTGAGACAAACTGGTATTTTTCCAAGTCATTAGAACACCTNTACTTTCTATTCATATAAGTATTAGTATTTTAATTTTCATCAATAAAAATAAGGGAACCCATCTTTAACATGTTAAATATATTTCCTTGTGAACTTCCTAGAGCTCTGAATATCTGAATGTGAATATACTTACATGCAATTATGCGGAGGTGAAGACCACAAGAACCTCTCCATTGTTATTAAAGCACTGAATTTACACATAGTTCATTCCAAAAAATTCTGCTTAAACCAGCAATCAAATTTCATTGTGAACCCTCAGAAACATTAAAGGGATTGTAAAAAGGTTTTCTTAATTTTTTTTATGTGTATCAGGGACACTGATAGTATCAATTTACATCATTACAATTTTCAATCAGATGTCTGTGGTTCCTGTAATTCCACTAAAACTAAGTGTTTGATGATGTCACTAATCACGAAATATGTTTGTATCACATCAGGCCCTTTGTGATTAGTGACATCATCAAACACTTAGTTTTAGTGGAATTGCAGGAACCACAGACGTCTGATTGAAAATTAGAATGATGTAAATTGATACTAACAGTATCCCTGATACACATAAAAAATTTCAAAAACCTTTTTACAATCCCTTTAAAATATCCTTATTGAGTGAAGTTACCCACAGAAAACACATGAAACAAAAAATGTAGATCACCCAGAAAATACATGAAACCTAGAGCTGCCTGTCATTCAGATTGATCGAACGCTTCACAAATAACACACAAAACACTTTTTCCACTTTCAAAAATCACAAAACTAAAAATTTTCACAAAACAACACAAATTTTTTCATTAACAAACCAAAAACTCATAAATTGTGTTTCAAAAATCAAGAAATCACACCAAATTTCTAAATAAAATTTAACACCACTATTTCAAAATGTTCATAATACGTTGAACGTCATATCTTTACGTAAAAACTTTTGTTAAAGTTTTCACAAATTTTTTTTCGTTTTTGTTTGTCCAAAAACTCAAACAATGCACAACTTTACATCTTATTGTTACAAGTTGAGCCATCTTCCCAAGTCCAGGTCAACAATTTCATTTCAACTACAGTAAAACCCTTCACTAAGGACAGCGACATTAGCCTGTTCTTTTTTGATTTCCAACTGTCGAGGGATCTTTAACGTGCACAGTCTGTAGCACACGAGGCCTCGGTTTATTGTCCCATCTGAATGGCTAAATGCTTTTTCCATGTCAGCCCTCTTACCTTCATCACTGACAGGGGTAAACCGGGTTGAAAAATCTGAAGGTATTATCTCGACCTTTGCTGGGATTGAACCCTGGACCTTCAGGTTAACAAGCAAGTTGGATATAGGTCTGAAACGTCTGCCTCTATTCCAGCCTCTGATAGATATTTTGACAGTTGTCAGCTGGGGTAGAGTCAGAAGAAAAGACCCTGTTAAATGGGGATTTTCCACAACTCCAAAGATGCGTTTTCTCTAACATAATATTGAATTATCTTTAAGATGATTATAAATTAGTGTTGGGCATCACCGTAACTTTCGTTTTGATAGTATCACGTGACTCTGTGACCTTTGAACTTTTGACTCCGCACGCAGTTTTAAATGGCCGATGCTAGATCAGTTTCGCCAAAAAAAACTTTGATGGAACCGGAGACATGACAGAGATGGTGTAGGGAGAAAATGATGGTATGACTGAACTACAAAAATATTCCTCTTTCCAAATATAGTATCTAACTAGGTATAAAACCACCACACCTGCGGAGATGCGAAATGTCCCCGTTTAACAGGGTCTATTTTTTCTGTCTCTACACCAGCTGACATCTGTCCAAATAGCTATCAGAGGCTGGAATAGAGACAGATGTTTCAATACTGCTGTCCTGATAAATTTACTTCATTGCACACAGCAAAACATTGATAAGAACATTCAGAAGTAGCACTTTTTATTTTGACTAGAGCACATCTCATAATGCTGACACACGTTTTGGATATACAAACCATAGCTAGTTGATGAAACAGGGAAATTGAATCTTAGCACCCAAAGTCCCACAGCTAACGACAAAAAACATCCCTTGTTCTATAAATGAGCTCTTCCAATCATACATTCACAGTCACATATTGATAGAAAATATGCATGTGGAAGAGCTCACTAGGAAATAAAGGGGTGTCTTTATGCTTTATGACATAAGGCCCTTCACGATTAGCGACGTCATCAAACACTTAGTTTTAATGGAATTGCAGGAACCACAGATAGACAAATAGACTGACCAATACCTGATCCATTGACTGGTGAAGATGACAATCAAAAACAACCACATTAATTTGTCCTGTTTCATTTCAACCAAGTTAAAATAAATTTCCTTAAAGTCATTTTTAAACTTTTTAAAATCTACTAACACAATTTAGAAGGCTTAGATTACTTTTACAAACAAGTTCAACTTTCAAATACGATTCATATTTCCTCTCAACAGCCATTTTTAAAGATTGAAAATTCAGTGATTTTGTCTAAGTTATGTCCCTAATTCCAGTCGACCCAGCAGTAAATGGTTACAGATAATCTACGAAAGATCAATGCCAAGAGGTTTGGTCAAAGACTAGCTGGTAGAAAGGATCCTCAGTTGTGAACCTAAGTTGTTATCCTTGTAAAATCAATGCCAAGAGGTTTGGACAAGGACCAGCTGGTAGAAAGAATCCTCATTATTCCAGTCAACCCAGCTGTAAATGGTTACAGATAATCTACGAAAGATCAATGCCAAGCGGTTTGGCCAAGGACCTGCTGGTAGAAAGGATCCTTAATTGTGAACCTAAGTTGTTATCCTTGTGAAATCAATACCAAGAGGTTTGACCAGAATTAACCACGTTTGAAAGTTAAAATGACGACTCATCAATTTAAGATACTCTGTGATATATAGAAAAGACATCTATAGAAATAGTGAGTAAACTTCCTAGTTTGAGATATTTTTAAAGGAATTATGTGATTTTCGTACATTTCTAGTTCTTCTGAAGACTATTTACATATATTCAAGACACTCAAATCAACCTCCGAAAATGGCGCACCTGTCTCTTTAAAGAAAATGTAAGGAAATTGTGTTTTATCTCTATATATGTGTATTAATAAGACATTATGTAACATATCAGTGAGGTAAAAAACACGACTTGCACACTCATAAGAAAATTATTTACTCTTTATTGTTGATAACAATAAAAAACTTGATCCTTTTACGAACAATAAAGTCATGTTCATAGGGATGTTTTCATTTTGTTTTTAATAAAGAATGAATAAAACAGACAGATGGGTTAAGTTTCAATGAATGAATTAATAAAATAGACAGATAGGATAAGTTTCAATGAATGAATGAATAAAGTAAGGTGGAAAAAGGATGGTACTGGTGTTTCTTCTGATTTCACAAAAGTAAATGCCCCCCCCCCCAAACCCTAGTCAAAAAAATATATTTTTAATACTCAAGGCAGCCATGTAGGGCTTAAACATCCTGGGTATGAGTTCATGACACTTTGTAAAGAATCCCTTGTAACTCGTGTCAATTGCTCCAGGGGGGTGGGGCTCAAATATGTTACTATATATAGCTCAGCTGTTCACCCATTAAAAAAGTAAACAAACTCTCTTTGCAATATGGCCAATTAAAAGGGGATGGGTTCGGCATGAAATAATGAAAAGCTCACCTCTGGACGAAGGCAAAAGGCTTCTCTAGCAATTTCCGACTCATTTTAGGTGGCTGGTTAAACAGTCATAAGGAAACATTCTAACAGAACGACGTCATTAAATAATCAACACAAAATGAGAAATCCAGAATCTAGGTCGAATTTTCTGGAATTTTGATCACACTTTGCCTGCCATTTTCAAGCGTGTCATTCAAGACAATGTCCTAATTTCTGTGGCAGTGGTTGGAAGAGTTTATTGTGTCCGACATTAGATGGAATTTTTAAGTACAACAGGCTGGATAAATCAACACAGTCGAATAAAATCAGAGATTTCACTTCCACTTGGCAGCCATTTTTAGATCAATATCGAAGTTCCGTGGTAAACGCTCAAGGGAGGTAATTTAAATTGACTTGGTGCGTTCGATTACTGGCCCTTGGGAATATTTTTAATAAAAATTATTTTTTTTCTTCTATGTTTTTTTCGGGGACATTGAGTGTTTATAATTTTTTGAATATGGATTGCCCCCCCCCCCCCCCCCTTTGATATTAACAAGAAACTCACCTTTTTCCAGGCTAATGTCGTTGTGCTGGCAAAATTTCCCTCATTGCACACTGAAGGTGTTGCCCAATCTTCATGAAAACAAATCAGTAACTCCATTCACTTCATTTCATTTTTCCAATTTGTATGTCCTTCTGCTAGTTGGAGAATTGATGACTTTCGATGCCATGCAGTGTGCAATGAGGGAATTTTTGTCAAGGCGGCTGCATAAGCTGACTGAAATTCTCATGATGAAGTTCCCTAAATAAAATGAATGAACGAATGAATGCTACAACTTAAAAGTCTGAAATTATCAAAATGCAGCAAAATAGATAGATAAATAAATGAATGAATGAATGAATGAATGAATGAATGAATGAATGAATGAATGAATGAATGAATGAATGAATGGATGAATGAATGAATGAATGAATGAATGAATGAAAAAATGAATGAATGAAATACTTAAAGTAATCTGGCACTACGGCAGCCATTTAACTCACTACTTTGTAATCCGGCAACACTGTACAGAGTGCTTCATTGGTTTCAAAATGGCCGACAATTTTGCATTTTTGTGAAAATGATAACAAAACTTTAATAATCTGAACAAATATTACCGTGTAACCTTAATTTTTAGACCTGAGGCCAAGATGTCGATGAAAGCTAGAACTAGAGGACATTTAAAAAGTGCCTGGACGCCAATGAGTGATGGCGCAACAAACAACAAGGTGCGTGGACCAGTCTCGACATGTTTTGTTTTGAATTTCGTAATGGCATTATTATTATGGCAATGCAACTCTTCAGGTTTCTAGCCTAGGCATTTTTTGTAGGCATTGCCAGTTTTGATAAGTCATATTGATACTTGACGTCTGCTCAAAATTTTAATGATCAAATTTAGTTTGAACCAGTCAATAAACCGAGGCCCCGTGTGCATAATTTAAAATCCCTCGACAGTTGGAAATAAAAAAAAGAGAAGGCTAATGCTGGTGCCTTTTCAAAATTTCCCTCACTGCACACTGCATGGCGTTGCCGAACTTCATTAGGCCAATTAGGTGCAGAAGAGTAGGAAAAACACCATTCATTCTATTTGTCTGTGCACAGGATGGTGGGATGTTTTATATTGTTATGAACGCAAGGTCTACTAAAATAAAGACTACATTTTCCTTTTTTCAGTTATATGAAGAAAGAAGTGGTTTAGTGAATAAATGGGTAGGTATTTTGTCAATCCAAGTCAGTGCTTCTCAACTAGGGTGAATTTGAAAGCCTGTGGGGTGAAGGAAAAGAATTAAAGTTCATTTCAACCAATCACAACACATGTGTCTAAATATTGACTATGAATTGTGGGATTGCGAAACCCAATCATGGTATGACCAATGAAATTACGAGACTGTCGATTCTCAATTGTAAAAGTGATTTTGATTGGTGGGAGAGTGGGCGTGATTGTCTGCTATAAATATCTTGAAACGTTACCAGTACACAACTTTGATATGAATGTCGTTAGATTACGATGGAGACCGACAAAAAAGAAACAAAATTTTAATCTAATTTTAATCAGATCGTGGCCATGTAGATCTTCACGGGTTTGTTGACATTTTTTCGATAATTCTATCAGCAATGCGTGATTTTGTCACCTGCTATTTTTTATTTCAGTTGA